CAAAGGCAGAAGTGCGACTCTGCGGCTCAGCACAGAATCCTTTCTCACTGACGTCCTCGCCCTAGTTATCCATGTTGCAGGCTCATTTAGAATATTTAGAAAACGCCAAAAATTATAAAGGAGGAAATAATCCTACCACTCAGAAATGATTAGTTTTAGCATATTGAAAAATGTAATCCTACTTTTGTGTGGATACAAAAGTGTACTGTATACAGCTTACATGGGGCCTTCTACCCCCCCCCCATGTAATATTATTGAAAAACTATTGTCTATATTAACAATTCCTTGAAAGTGTGATTTTTGGGGGAGACTGGATCTCACGGTGTAGTTCAAGCTGGCCTTGAACTCACTATGTGGCTGAGTCTAGCCTCAAACTCATAACTGTTATAACCTGACCAAAGCGCTGCCATCCTGTTCTGTATGCGCCGTCTTAGTGAACCATGTCAGCTGCTGTAAAATGTGCCTGTCTCCCAAAACTTCTGTTCCTGTAAGCCACTGCTGCGAGCCCTGGCCTCCACCCTTAAATTCCAACGTGTGCCTATCTCACAGAACTGTTGCTGTAAGCCCTCGCCCCACCCTCGAATTCCAAGAACTTCTCCAGACCCCTCAGCAGCTGCCCTGTCTCCTTGAACTCCCTGAGTTGTACCCCGCCTGCTTTGTGGCTTTAAGCTTTATAAACCCCACGTTCCCCCCCCCCTTTGGGGTGCACTTAGGCACTTTGTGCCGGGTGTTGCCACTGGGTACCAGCTAAAATAAAGAGCTTCATTAACTTTTGGACTTGCCTCATTGTCATTCGATTTTTGAGCTACGACAATAACCATTCTCCTGTGTCAGCTTCCCGAGTACCGCAACCATAGGCATGCGCCACACGTGCAGCTGAAAGCCTGGCTTTTCCTAGCGGCATAAGCGACCACCCTCTGCATCTGTCCATTCACTTAGCACTGGGCCTGTTTGAGGGTATTAAAGCTACTTTTTTTCTAGCATAATTACTTTTATTCAGGACAGTCTCTCGCCCAATGGGCTCTACTTCCTTACAATACATTTCAGCAACCAGGATGGGGGGCAGAGTTTGCGTATTCCTAAAGCTCCTGCGGATATGGCTTACTTGATTCCAGAAAGTGTGAGGGAACCCACCCATCCTCCACAGTGTGTGTGTGCCTGTCGCAAAAATGATGATCAACACTCGGAATTACCACCTTTTATTCTTTTCCAATTTGCTAAGTCTGCACTTCATGTGGCTGTCACCGTGACTCTGAGGTTTTTTCTGAGCTTAGCAGCCACTCATCCTTCTTCTCCATGTGATCTGTTCGTGTGTGTCCAGCCCAGGGAAAGAGCCTGCCTCTCGGCGTGGCCTGTGCCACCTTCAGGGACACCTTCCTGACCTCCTCAAGCAGCCATGCCCCCCACAGCTGTGAGGGAGTTGGGCCCAGACTGTCCACCCCCCTCACTCTCACCGCCAAGAGCCCTTAAGATAACCCACCCCCTTGCTCCATCAATAATCACTGCTGTGGGCCCTATATCTATAAAGCTAAAAGAGTGGGTTCAAACAGATAAACTAGGGTCAGGGTGTCAACAGCTCGGCCTCACGTGGGAAACTACCCAAAGCAGCTGGACCAATGGGTGAGTGTGGGCACACAGCCCCCAAGTGCCCAACAGGGCAGAATCAGGGCCTTCCCTTCACCCTCTCTCTTGGGTCCCTCACGCAGCAGGAGCTTTCCCTTTTGTGTGCTTTTCCTTTCCTAATAAACTTCCCAGCTCACGACTCTTTCCTCCTCCACCTATGGTTTCATTCTGTGACACCTCAAGACACACACCTGTTCTGCTAACAGCATCATCACACGCTGGAGGACCCGCCATGGGGGCGCCTGCGTGCCGAGAGCCTGAGGCCCCCGCAGCTGCTCAGCCAAGAAGACGGAGGCCGCTGACTGAGCAGGACCGAGGACGCAGCTCCCGCCCCAGGTGGAAGGCCTGGAAGCTCAGGCGAGTCGCCAGTTAAGTCTGAGCTGCAGGCTGGAGAAACTGGAGACCTGGGGACCAGCGTCCCAAAGCGCGGCCCGGGGTGCAGCTGCACAGGAAACAGCACCCTTCAGGGTGGGCGCACTTCCTGCTTCTTTCCCTTTTCATTCATCCAGACTACGAGCCTACTGGCTGGTGCCACACATGTGGGTGTCTTCCCCTCAGCTTGCTGGCCTGCACACCAGTCACCCTCAGACATGCCCAGAACTGTGTTTACTAATCTGCTGGATGTTTCCTAACTCAGACAGGCTGACACACCCTGAGGAACAGTCACATTGCCTCAGCCCTGTCGTGGTAGCCATGTAGGTAGCTGTAACGCTGAGCGTGGCCAATGGAGTTGAGTGGAGGTCTGGAGGACAGGGCCAGCCATGTGTCACTGGGCGTGGGGTCCACGAAGGGGAGCTGCGGCTAAGCCAAG